AACTTTGTGTGTCTGCATGCCTCTGTGTGTGTGTGTGTGTGTGTGTGTGTGTGTGTGTGTGTGTGTGTGTGTGTCCGGCTTTGCGAAACCCTCCAGAACCCATGCAGGAATAGGGGAAATGGGTGGGTGTTTTGATCAGGAGCTGTGATTACAAGAAAGAGGATCTATAAAGCAGTTGGCCTGCAGTACCAGGACTTGGGTCGACAGCGGCCCTCAACAGGTCTGCTCTGCGGGTCTTTGAGACCACACTCCAGCTGCACTGGATAAGCACTTGGGCCGGAAGCCACCGTGGTGTTTAACCCAGAGGACGGAACACTCTTTGCTGAGCTTGTTTCTGTTCCCAAAACAGACCTCTTTATTAAAACAGCTAAACTTCAGCAGTGTTAATATTTTCACAGTATTTAAGGGCTTTATGGTAAATCAAACTTTTTAAAAAAAAAGAGAGAGCAAAAACAGCTACCAGCTGATTTATTTTCTCTTAATCCATCTCTGTCACTTGTCCCTCCTTCTGCTTAGTTTCAAAGGGCCCTCCGTCTGCTCGTCAGCTGCTTCCAAAACTCTTGGCAAAACCCCCGTTCTGCCGCTTCTACCTGATGCATTTTCACCAGCATCCTCTCAGTGCCCGTCCTCCACCCGCCCCACAGTTGATTTAACGATTTAACTTTTTCACTCTGCCTCCTTTCACTCAAGATTTCAGGCATCTTGGAAGGTGTGGAAAATGCGACTAAGCCGTTTTCCTGGAAAGCAGAGACACCATCGGTGATTGCATTTTCCCAGAGGCAAGGGAGTCCTGCTCTCTTAGCGCCATCCCTCACTCCCACAGTCGGCTGCCCACGTGCGTTGTCATCAGCCGCCTGAACCATCACGCTGCTCCCCACCCCCGGCCCCCGCCTGCAGCCACGCCCTTGCAGACCTTGCGTCCAGCTCCCAGTCACCTGTCACGGCTCAGAGAAAGCATCAGTTCTTCCTGGATGCATTCCCTGTCCCTGCATGCGCACACACACTCGTTGGCTCACACCTGTCCCGCCCTACCCCATCGCTGCTGCTTGTGAACTGTCCCGTTCACTGGTTTTCAACTTAGGTCCTCTCTAGCAATTCAGCAGAGCATTAAGCTGTGTCTGTGGGGTCAACTGCAGGAGCTTCCCAGGCCACAGGATGTCAGTCCCAGCCAAATGCAAGAAAGAAGAAGCAACATGTCCTATTACACCAGGTGCACTGCAGGCCAGTTTTGAAATTCTGGGCTAAATTACCAAACCACCAAATAAGTGTGAACACAGCTGCTGTTTTCAAGTAGTTTTATCAGTGTTGAGATTCAGGTTTCTTCCATAAAATAGGGATAACTTATTAAAAACTTTTTGAGCTTTTTAAGGGTTTGAAAGACCTGTAATACTTTGCATACCTGTTATACTGGCAGATTCTGGTTGGATTTGGTTGTTTTTTGTTTTTTGGTTTTTTGGTTTTGGTAATGTTATGTCCCTTGTTTATACAGGTCCTAGAACATTGGTGGCGATATAAACTCATGTATACTCCCTGGAGGAAAACCCCGAAATCCCTTTAATCCCAGGTGGTTCAGCATTTAGGAATTTGCCTCTAAAATTATCCCCATCTGATCTGCTGGCAGAGGCGGCCTATGCATAAGATAATGGTCCCAGCATTATTTCTACTTGGGGGCAGGGGAGGGGCAGAGTCAGAGTGCTAAATGTTCTAAAATGATGTTTTGATGGAGTCAGTTGTGGTACATCCACAGCATAGGTCACTGTGCTACCGGTGATGATGATGTAAAAGAGAAATTAATGGAGATGAAATGATCAGGATATATTGAATAAAGCACATAGCAGAAAATGCTGAAGTGGCTGACATTGTGGTGCACTGGGTTCGTCTCATGTGAGTTCAGGTTCCAACTCCAGCTGCTCTGCTTCTGATCCAGCTCCCTGATAGTATGCCTGGGAAAGTAGCAGAAGAGATGGTCCAAGTGTTTGGGCTCCTGCAGTCATGTGGGAGAGCTGGATGGAGTCCCAGGATCCCGACTTAGGCCTGGTCCATTGAGGCAATGAACCAGGTGGATGGAGGTTCTCTCTGTCTCTCTAATTCTGCCTTAAATAAATAAATCTTAACCCTACAGTCATGCTTTAGTGTTTCTCAGTTAATTTTTTCTTTTATTTGAGAGACAAGCAAACAGAGTATACTTTTGAACCCGTTGATTTACTCCCCGCAAGCCTGCAGTAGCATCCAGGGTTAGGCTAGACCTGGCCAAAACTGAGAGCCCAGAACTCATTCCAGCTCCGTGTGAGTGACAGAGACCCAAGCACTTGGGCCAGCACTACCTCCCAGGGTGTGCATCAGCAGGAAGCTGGAATCCAAAGCCAGGTGGTTATTTTTTTAAAAGAGACATGTTGTTGGGATGAGGCTAGAAGGAAAGAAACCACCGTGTTTCTCTGAGTTTCACCTAAGTTTTATCTGTGTGTTGTTTTATTTACCACAAATGAAACATGGCAGGTCATCAGCTTCCCAGGGTTTGCAGTTGCCATCACCTGGGGAAGCTGTGGCATGTGCCCCGCGCAGGGCTCTGCGGACCAGCAGGGGCCGGGCTCCCTCGCAGGTGCGGGCAGGGCTCCTGTGTCCAGGTGAAAAGGTGTCCCCGCTCATTTGCACTCACGCCCTTGAGCACATGGACTCAGACACCAGCATGGAAACTCCTGGCTTTCCGCAATTCCGACAAGGGTCAGGAACTGAACCAAACTTCCACATGAAATGGCCTATCGAAATAAATTAAATTCATGCGTGCTTTTCTGAATGGGCTTTTCATAACACCGAGACTTTTGAATCTAGCTGGCTTCCACAGACCTTGGAGAAAGTGAGCAACCTGTTTTTTTTTTTTTTTTTTTTAAACACAAGGGCTAATTCAGGAAAAATAAAAATGTTTATGAGCCACATTTTTCTCCTACCCAAAATAAAACTAGCTTTTAGAGGCCTACAGGGGAGGAAAATAACTGTTCTTATAAGCTATAAAGTTGAAAAAACAACAGTTATAATATTTGTATTGCCTTTTAGCCACAGCAGTTCTCTTCCATCCTAGGCGTATGGCAGCTAGAACACGAAGCATCTTCCTGGTCTTTCATCCTGGAAGATTACCAGGGGAACTGATGGTTCCAGCGCGTGTGATACTGGTGGAAGGGGGAGGGGAAAAGGATGTTATCTCCCAGAGTCCCTGAGAAACAACATGAAAAGATGAACTCATTTTCGTGCCCAACAAAAAAAGTCCTTTTGAAATGCTTGCACACCTTTTCTGTACAAAAAATTCAAAACATGTGCATGCAGGGAATCCTGTCTTTTCATTCCATTTTCCATGACGTTTAGGAAGGACCCTCCTGGCCCACCAGTGCAGACAGTAGAGTTGAGGAGCAAATGGGAACCAAGAGATGGAGGAGAAGATGGGTGTGGGTGTGTACGTGTGCATGTTCTATCGAATTGCCTCTGAGAGAGGTTGGTACAAGAAAAAAATATATAAATGAGGTCATTTCTTTAAGACTTATTTTTATTTTCATCGGAAAGACAGATTTACAAAAAGATCTTTCTTCCACTGGTTCACTCCCCGAATGACCACATGGCCAGAGCTGAGCCAATCCTGAAGCCAGGAGCTTCTTCCACATCTCCCACGCAGGTGCGGGGTCCCAAGGCGTTGGGCCGTCCTCCACTTCTTTCCCAGGCCACAGGCAGGGAGCTGGAAATAGACAAGCCAGGACATGAACCAGCACCCATATGGGATGCTGGTACTTAGAGGTGGAAGGTTAGCCGGTTCAGCCACTGCACCAGCCCCTGCACGAAGTGATTGATTGGTGGGATACAAGACGTTGATGGACAGTGATGGGAGGAGATAAGAAGACACATGGGGAGGAGATTGGACAAGAGCAGAAGTGGAGGGTTGATGTTTATATGTTTTAAAAACAGCCTCTCCTGAAAGAGAAGGACATCATGATGGCGTCCGTCACTGTCGCTGTGAGAGGGGGGGACAGCCGAGAGGGGGTGCGGGCTGCAGTGAAGACAGAGCCTGGAGGAGACAATGGGCAGACTGCAAGGGGGAGGGCCTCGTTGACCTGGCCCCCGGCGAGGCTAGAGCATCCTGGTGCCTGGTGGTGTCGGGAGCACCTTGCTTGGGGACCCTGTGCTCCCCTAGGAGCCGCCATCATTGCTCCTGCAAGGAGAAAGCCACCTCCAGGAAGCCCCATGGGTTTCTTAAGAGAGCATAAACAAACATGTATGTAAGTGGGAACTAGCGGATCTAATTTATCTTGACTCTTGGTTTTCCCTTAGATTCCATGACCAGTCTGCTCTGGTCACGGTCACGGCCACGGGAGAGTTCTAGTCGGTAGTTTTCTGTCAAGTGTCCAGCCTGTGCCAGCTCCTCTGAGAACCCAGGACCGACCCCAGACCTTACGGTGGCACCTGCCCTCCACAGTAGCCGCTTGCTGTTTACGCTTGTTGCCAAGGCTGTAGCTTACCACAGACACTGAGTTGTGGCCAGTGGCCAAGGCGCACGCTTGTGACTCATCAGCACTAATTAGGTGATGTTTCAAAATAAAATACAAATCAACGAGTAGGAACGGCTTGTTAGAATTAAGATGCCATTCTTTACCCCAATCCGACAGGCTTGTGGTCTGAGCAGTTTGTTCTCGGGACCGTCCCTCACTTAGCGCTAACCGCGAGAGGAACACGATGCCAAGCAGGCATCGTCTTCTGCCTTGGGAGGAAGAGATATGCATGTCTGCTTTAGAGATGAGTCAGGTGGAGGGCACAGCCTGTTTCACAAGGCTGAAGTCTCTTAGCTCCTGAAACTCTCCCAGCTGGCACAAGCAGGACGAGTGACCGGACGCCCCCCGTTGTGGGAAGTCCCACGTTCAGGATTCTCCCACAGCCGGGATGAAGCTGGGGTGGGGTGGCAGGCGAGATGATGGAGCTGAGTGGAGAGTAATCATTCGGTGTCGTTCTCTGCTCTTTTCCAGCCCCCTGCTCGCCGTGTCCTTTGCTGCTTGCTGTGCCGTCCCGGGAGTTGCCCTTCTGACCTGGGGGGTGAATCCCCTCACAGGAGCCCTGGGCGTCTTCAACATCTTCTTATATACCTGCTGTTACACGCCCCTGAAGAGAATCAGCATTGCCAACACGTGGGTCGGGGCCGTGGTCGGGGCCATCCCCCCCGTCATGGGCTGGACCGCAGCCACTGGCAGCCTTGACGCTGGTGAGTTCTCCCTGTGTGAAGTCTCGGCTTCTCGCTGTAGACCCCCTGGGCACGCATGCCAGGCACAAAGAGCTTGGTGACCCTCCCATGCCAGCCTGGGCACACTAGACAGGCCTCCCCCTCTGTGAGCTGCAAGCCTGGTTAGATCTCGTCCCACTCTAGCGACTGCCTCAGCACCAGTGAATGCAGAGCCAAAGGGAGACCCCATCTTCCTCGGTTACAGGTGTGTGTGGCATCCACTTGGCCTTGGATGTGACCAAAACAAGGGACGTGGCGCTGCCCCCGGCCTCTGACTGCAGGTGGTTTGTACGGAGTACCTGGGGAGCATGGGTTTAGCATAGTTGGTTAAGAAAGCAGTCAGGTTACCTGGATTCAGGGCCCAGCTCTGTCTCCTGACTCCAACTTCCCACCGGTGCAAAGCCTGGGCAACAGCAGGTGCTGGCTCAGGCACGCTGATCCATCCTTGCCACCTGCACCACAGACCTGGGTTGAGTTCCCAGCTCCTAGCTTCGACCCTGGCCGAGCCTGTAGCCAGCACTCTGCCTCTCTAATAACATAAACAAACTATTGATGAGGTGGACTATGTTTTTCTGCCTTTTCCTACAAGAAGAAAAATGGGAGAGGTGGAGTACATGAAAGTCACAAATCAGGTTAAATGAGGACTGGCTGGTTCACTCGGGATGTCCCAGTCTGTAGAGAAGGATCTAGAAGCAGCCCATCACCCACCAGGAGAGGGGTGATGCTTAGCCCACCTGCTAAGCAAGCTCTTGACTTCCTCAAAACCAGGGCTGGTTTTTTGCCCCCTCTTAGGAAAGGGCAGGTTATTTTCATTAGTTTCTAATTTATTTTTATACGATTTGCTTAAATTGTTCATGCTGTCTACAATAAAACCATTGAAAACGTTTCTACATTTTTTTTGGTAGTATGTCACCGCTCAATTTGTGGGGTGAAAATAGCCCATTTTTACCATCTGTAAGGGAAGTTTCACAGTCTAATTAGTCAAGTAATTAGTGTTTTTGACCAACACTTAGGAAGGAAGTGGTGAGGTTTCCTGCAATATATGTAAGTACATATTTTTCAGATGAGAGATCAAAAGGCATTTGACCATAAACCATTACCCTGGAAGCCCCATTTCTGAAACTTTTCATAAAAGCTCCGGCACTCCGAATTGGCAAGCTTACAAACGCGACTACACCTCCACCATGACTGTCTCTTAGAACAGTTTTAATATCCTGTAAATGGGGGCTTTTAATGGAGTTACAAATGTAACATTCTGAAGTGTGTGTGTGTGTGTGTGTGTGTGTGTGCGCGTTCGTGCACTCCTTCGTTTGCTGGGCGTCTCCTCCACGTGGGAGGCAACATGAGCACCGCCGTGTGGTTGAAAATGGGGACACCAGAGCTGGGTGCTCCCCCTTCCTGGCTGAGCGAACTGGGGACCCCGCTGGGCCTCCTGCTTACCGCAGCCTCCCTCTTCCGTCTTCCCCACAGGACGCATCGCGAGTGGACTCTCCTCGGAGAGTTGCCGTGAGGATGAAATGCCTCAGTTCTGTGTGTGTTGTGGGAACAGAAGCCCACAGACAGGGCCATTCATAGAGCAAAGGCATTTGCTTCTTGCGGTTCTGGAGGCTGGGAGGTCCCAGGGCAAGGGCCTCACGCATGGTGGGGCCTCTTGGTGTGGGGGAATGGGACACAGTTGAAGTCCTTTGTGATTAGTTTTGTTTTGTTTTAATAATATAGCTCCAAAGGCTTTGGGACTTCCCCTCCTCCCACACTGATTTCCCCTGTTTAATTACAATTATGTAGTCCTTCAGAAAACAGTCGTAAATCCATCATTCTGCTATTCAAGTGTATGCTGACTTCATAGGCATGGAGAGTGGCGGAGTCCAGCATCCTGTTGTCAAGATACAGTTCACTTGTGATCAGTGTTAAGACAGAGCCCTCCTGAGCGGACACCTCCAATTCGGGCTCAGCCGTCACCCTGGGGTTAAGTTTCCAGAACAGGTTTCTCTAGGGTGGAGGTGTATTGAGACCCAAGTACTTGCGATGTGCGAAGTGCTGGACACTGGGCGCCAAGGACTCCACTCAGCATCCCCAGTGCTGTTGCCGCTATTCGGTTATTCAGTGGCTCACTCATCTGCTCAGAGGAGGGAAGGGCATGAGATTGGGTTTGCCTTGCAAACTCAACTTGGATTCGTCGCCATGGCCTGGTTGTCCTGAAGCGCTGTAAGGCGGCTCCAGGCGTAGTGGGAAGAGTGCTGGGTCTTAGGGAAAAGACGTGCTGTGGATATCTAAAGTCAGCATCCCCGGGCCCCGTGATGTCTGCTCACCCTGGTTTCAGGGTCTGTACGGGAGCCAGTCGCCTTCCTCCTCCTGCATCCCAACTGGAAACTCCGCCCCAACTTCACCTGTCCCATCCCTCCTCCTTCTCCGCACCCCCCCCCAAGGCTTTGTAGGGAGTGCCATGACCTTGGGAGGGAGCACGTGACTCCTGAGGCTCTGCACCTTGCACACCCATCCTTCCTCAAGCACGCCCCTCAGATTCAGTGCTCTGAACCACCTGCCTCTCTGATGAGGAGTGACCCAAACTCTACCCAGCTTTCTGAAGCTCAGCCCAAGCGCACATAGCATCAAGACCATTTTCTCTGCCCCAAGAGCCCCAGACAGGGTCAGGGTGAGAGCCAGTTGTTGCAGATGTCACAGGAGGCAGGTGCAGGCAGTCTAGTCCAGGGCTGTGAGGAGCTTGGTCACTGCCACTGTGCAGGCGTTCCGGGGTGCGGGTTCTCAGTGAGGGTACAGGACCCTGTTGTACTAAGGGATGGTTTGGATTTGGCTCAACTGCGCAGAATCTCATGTAAAATATTCTTTTAGTGTTGCATACAGAACTTATTAGTAATGGACAGTCGAGGAGAGGCCATGGCTTATTCAGTTTGGAAAATAAAAGGTCTGGGGGGAAAAAGAGAGAGAGAGACCCATTATCTACCTGAACAGAACTCATAGAACAAAACAAAGGAAGGTGAGAGTCTCCACAGCCAGGAAGAACGCCTCCCGGCACTTCTTGAGCTTGTCTTCTCTTATGTCCTTTGTTCTTAAAACCTGAGAAGATGTAATGCTACACACACTCAGTTTACTGCACCCCAAAATCAAACTTTATATAACGCTTTACACCACTTCAGAGAAATTTCAAAAGGTCAACCGGATAGTGCAAATGGGAGAAGCAGTAAATCTTTGAACGAGCTGAGTGAAGGTATCGGTAGCTGTGTACCTTCCCGTTTCCAGGTGACAGTCACAGAGCCATGCTTGGTAGGATTCTAGGAACCGGGTTGACTACACGTTGTTGTAGTTCTGCCAGCTTCCAGAACTGCGCTGTCTAGTAAGGTGGCCATACTAGTCATACATGACTATTTAAATAAGCTTATAAATCCGATTTCTCAGTCCCGACTCAATGCCTCAAGTCACGTGTTGCTGGGAGCCGCTGTACGGGGAGGGCAGGTGGAGGAGCCACTCGTCACTGAAGACAGATCACATTCGCATTGACGCCTGCAAGACTGCCTGCCCTTTGTTTTAGGCTGCATCCTTTGGTCCTTACATGAATGGGTCCTTTAAACAACAGGGCAGCATATGAGACTGTATTTGTTCACTTCATGAAACTAAAGCACATTCCTGGGCCCTGCCCTGGAAAGTTGCCGATGCACTCACTCTCCCATCACATTCAAGAACTGTATCTCTCATAGACTCCTGGGGAAAGTTCAGGAACAACACTTTCAGAACCACTAAGCAACTGAGACAGAAGCAGAAAGAGTTCCCACCCACTGGGGTTCCTTGGGCATAGCCAAGGGGGGCAGAGAGCATGAGCAGGACCACCAGGGGTGTCACATGTCTCATCCTGCAGAGATCTTGTAGACTCTCATCTTGGTGGGATACCTGTGGATGCTGGCCACGAGGTTTCCTTCCTTCTATAGTAAGCCTAACCAGGCTGATCAACTTGGAGATCTTCCGTTCTCTGGCTCACTCCCCAAGTGGCCGTGACAGCCAGAGCTGAGCTGATCCGAAACCAGGAGCTGAAAGCCAGGAGCCTCTTCTGGGTCTCCCCTGTGGGTGCAGGGTCCCAAGGCTTTGGACCATCCTCAACTGCTCTTCCAGACCACAAGGAGGGAGCTGGATGGGCAGTGGGGCCACCAGGACACAAACTGGCACCCATCTGGGATCCCAGTGCATGCAAGGCGGGGACCTTAACCACGAGGCTACTGTACCAGGCCCCTGAAATGCCATCTTGAACCATATTGATAGTAAGGGGGAGGAGAGAGAAGGTACAGAACGTAAGAGGAAGCAAGAGAGGCCAGGAGGGCACATGCTCGGCCCAACAGGCCAGTGACGAACTGCTCCCCCCACTGTGACTATTGTGCAGGTGTCCTTTGGGCTCCTGCTGTGTGCTAGGCACTGAAAAATAGCAAAAACTGAGCCCACGCCATCCCTGGTCCTCAGGTCCATCTTGTCTCTGCATCCCCAGGGAGAGGCAGACCAAGGACCGCTTTTTGGGAAGAGGGGCAAATGTGCCCAGGAGCTGCTGGGCTTGACAGCAGGAGCAGCATGCCGCGGGGCCAGAGGGGGGGACTTGACCTCAGAGCTGCCGCCCACTAAGGAACTCACCCAGCCTTGGGAGCCAGGCCCCTGGGCGCTTGAAGCCAGAAGGCAGCAGGGTCCTGCTTTGAGTGATTTTCACATGCACAACACGTTCTCCCATGGTGTTAGATCACACAGTTGCTAAGGCTGCCCTTTTGGTTACTTTTTTTTTTTTTTTGGCCTCCTGTCCCCTCTGCTCCCCAGTTGACCCTTCCCTGTCGTAGCCCTGCCCCCTTGGCCTTGCCTAGTCTACCTTTCAGCTTCTTTGAATAACACAGCAAAACATCCAAACTGTGCTTCGAAAGAGCGGCTTGTTCACACACCAGTGCACCTGCACGTGGGAGACTCCATGAAGGATGTGTGTTTAATGGGAGGCAGAT